CTTATTTTGGTACACCAAGATGGTACCGGACCATGTACATGTACCTTCATGAGTTCTTAAAACTTACTTTGGTACACCAAGATGGTACCGGACCATGACTGGTTCTTAAAACTTACTTTGGCACATCAAGGTGGTACCAGACCATGTACATGTACCTTCATGAGTTCTTAAAACTTACTTTGGAACACCAAGATGGTACCGGACCATGACTGGTTCTTAAAACTTACTTTGGCACACCAAGGTGGTACCAGACCATGTACCGTTGGCCTGACAGATTCGTTCTTCATTTCCAGACAGTACCACATATCCTACATCACACTGATGAATACAAGATGAACCATAAAGAGGTTGCGGACATGACACTGTGCTGCTATGAACAGGAGATGTCAATTCTGAACACTGAATTGCTGTAAAGATAAAACATAGCAAAACTATCGAAACCTGTCCCTGCTACAATTCATAACAAAGATAAAACATAGCAAAACTATTGAAACCTTTCCCTGCTACAATTCACAACAAAGATAAACATAGTAAAACTATTGAAACCTTTCCCTGCTACAATTCATAACAAAGATAAAACATAGCAAAACTATTGAAACCTTTCCCTGCTACAATTCACAACAAAGATAAACATAGCAAAACTATTGAAACCTTTCCCTGCTACAATTCATAACAAAGATAAAACATAGCAAAACTATTGAAACCTTTGCCTGCTACAATAATAACAAAGATAAAACATGGCAAAACTATTGAAACCTTGCCATGCTACAATTCAAAACAAAGATAAAACATAGCAAAACTATTGAAACCTTTTCCTGCTACAATTCATAACAAAGATAAAACATAGCGAAACTATTGAAACCTTTCCCTGCTACAATTCACAACAAAGATAAACATAGTAAAACTATTGAAACCTTTCCCTGCTACAATTCATAACAAAGATAAAACATAGCAAAACTATTGAAACCTTTCCCTGCTACAATTCATAACAAAGATAAAACATAGCAAAACTATTGTAACCTGTCCCTGCTACAATTCATAACAAAGATAAAACATAGCAAAACTATTGAAACCTTTCCCTGCTACAATTTGGTATAACTTATACAAAAGGTATTTTCCATTCACTGCGAGATTTTGCGTAATGTGCGAAAAGCTTGGTCAAACATCTTCTACAAAAACTGAATGAATTGATCTTGAACTTTTTTTATATAATTCAATATTTAAATGCTGAGCTTTCAGCAGAAAATATTTAGATGCAATTATTTCAATAACTGCCTATCATCAAATGTATGTCCAAGAATAACACATTATTAAAGCATAGAAATACCTAAAAAATACCTTTGAATTTGTTGGATCCCACACAATGTTTTGATGCCAGTACGACGTTATGACCTTTGTTTGTCCTGTATTAAGGTTTGATTTCCCACATAACGTGCGATCTTGCAGTGAATGTTGAACGCTTTGTTGCATCCATGTCCAATATTAAAAGCAAGGGAGTCGTCATCTGCGCATGCGTCAGATGGCCATAGCATGTCATTGTTTACGAACAAGCATCTACCCATGAGCCTTTGTGTTTTTAGCGTGTCTTTATCGTTGATTAGGACTCAATTCCCACGCGTACGCAGGTGACGACCCTCTCCTTTTAAGTGACACTCAACCAACAATAATACGAAAACACCTTCCTGCCAGTTA